CTTTGTGGGTGGCTTTATGCACAGGTTCACTACAGACAATGACTGGATCCAGTTCAGACATTTCTCATGGAGAGGGGGACCACATGGGGTAAGATGTGGAGAGGAAGAGATAAGTCATTGACCTTAGGGCAAGTGAAAAGCATCTTGTGAGGCCCTTGTCTCAGATCTCTAAAATCTGATTGGCCAGTGCTCCTTGTGCAGGAAGTCACAGGGGCTGCCCAGCATCTTGATAAGCCTCTCTTGGACATCAGGTTCCACTCCTGCTCCTGCAGACACCTCCTATCCAGGGGTAGGAGAGCATTCTCTGGTGCTCAGCACTCCCTGGAAAGCTCCTCTTTTTCTACTCACCACCTTCAACTAGAAGATGGTGCTCAGGTAAGAGTTGGCTCAGAACTATCTTTGTTTTCTCCCTCTTGGTTCACATGGTCACTACTGCATCTTGGGGTGGAGCATGCAAGGAGCCATGGGCACCCATGAAGGAGAGTCCAGAGACATGAAGCTCCCTCAGGGAAGCTTTGGGTGCTGGTAGCTTAGGCTGTGAGGGAGCCAGGTCCTTTCTGCTTCACAGACATTGTTTTCAAACCTAAATTGTTAATAACCTCTGGTTTCACACATTACCTTGCTGTTCTATGAGATTGTTTGCTTATTTCTTCGTTACATGCATCTATCTTTCATGTCACGGCCAAAAACACAAGGCACAAATAAATAGGGCAATTAAAGAGAGTTTAATAAAAAGACTGTATAAAAGGTGAGCACGACTAAGGGAAATTAATAGAGGATACAGCGATCCCTAAAGGTAAATCATAATAGGAAGATATTGCCCTTGGGCATCCTGAAATGTAAAGGGAAAGATAAGTTGCCAGAACATAGGGAGGGCTGTGGCTGTAGCGGTGGTCATCATTATGACCGAAAAAAATGCCCACAGACAAGGGCTGTATCCTTAATTAGAGTAACATCATCACCATGGCAAACTCACAGCCTAACAGCAGAGAGTGCAGCTCTGTTTGTGACAGGGGGCGGGGCCACAACCTCCCTATCCGCCCTGCTCTGTTCTTGAAAGGGGAAGGCACAACAACCCCCTGATCAGCCCTGCTCTGTGCCTGATAGGGGGGAGCTCCCCAACTTCCTGATCGGCCCTGCTCTGTGGGTGACAGGGGGCAGCACCCCAACCTCCTCATCCACTCTGCCTTGAGTGTGACAGGGGATGGCGCCCCACCCCCCAATTGGCCAGCTCTGTATGTGACAGGATTGGCACCCCAACCCCCTGATCCGCCCTGCTTTGTGCATGACAGGGGGTTGAGCAGCAACCTCCCCATCGACCCTGCCTTGAGTGTGAAAGGGGGCAGCGCCCCAACCCCCCAATCAGCCCTACCCTGAGCGTGACTGAGGGTGGCATCACAACCTC